TAGCAATACTTTATGTGCTTCAGAGCACGGAAAGACCTCAAACAATTTTTTTCTGTCTCAAGAACCCATGCTTCAGCCTTTAACGGTTCAAGACATCCCTGAAAGGATGGCGGTTTCATTTTGCTGAACTTGTGGGTGAGAGCAATTATGTCCCCATCATTAACATTAACATTCTATTCCGGTACAGCCGGAGGAGGTGGTGGGGGCTGTTGATTCTGTAGCTGGTCTAATCTTTCAGTTATCAGTTCCAGTCTGGCCATTCTGGCCTCAGAGGATGAGGATTCAGTTTCATTTGCAGTTCTTGCATTATCCATTTCACTATAAGCAGTTATGACAGTTATCAACCTGGGCAGTCATTTGTTTAAACAGATTAACATATTAGCATATATTCAATCATGTTATAAGCACACACTTTAACATGTTCATGCAATGCCCTAAGCACTTTTCTAGGACATCCTATAGCTCATTTGGACATGTGTGTACGGTATAACTCGTGGTAAGTATCGCTCTGATACTACTCTGTCACGACCCAAACCCGCCCCTATGGGTTTAGCACCGTAACCGGCCAGTAATCCGAGATTACCGAAGGCCTGCTTAACAGTAAGACAATAATACAGAGTACAGGGGCTGGCGGAAGCCAATACAGTAAATGAACAATGTCCAATGAGCTGTGACAGTTTGTATGCAAAATGACTTTTCATTCAAATATATACAGTCAGACAAAACAGTATGTACATATATACAATCATTCAGTCAGGGACCTAATCCTAATCAAACAGTATAGTGCAGTGCTATCAGTCTATGTAGTCCACAAAACAGGTACAGAGACAGAAGGGGGAATAAAAGACCCCTAAGCCACAGCATGGCAGGCTCGGAACCTCGCAGTGAGACACAGTAGTTGGCTTGACAAAACTGGAGTTTATCCCGACGCTTCTAGCCGCGTTCTGGTGCCTGTACACCTATATATATATATATGAGCAGTGAGCTAAAGCCCAGTGAATAACACAATGCGTAAAGGGGTTAAGAATGAATGTCCTTACAGTAGTGAAAACAGTTCATTAAATCTGTATTTCAGTCGTTCAGTCAGTGCAGTCATATGTGGTACATCCATTAGCATAACAGTACAGTAAATAGTAGGTCTTAAAAGACCGAGCAGTAAATGATAGCCATCAGTCAGTAACAGTAGTGGTTCCAACGAGGGAACCGACAGAGATCTCTGTAACAGTATCATTAAACAGTAGGTGCTAATGATGCCACAATACAGTTCAGAATATAAGACATACATTCATTCAGTTAACAGTAATCAGTTCAGAAAGCAGTACAGTTCAATTGTTCAGAAGATAATCATTTTGAACATATCTTTACACAGTTGTTACTCACAGAGTTCTGGGCTACAGTAAAGCTAGAGCGCGTCCCCAGTCGCCAACCCTACACAGTAACAGATTGAACACACACTAAGCTACACAGTTGGGAAAATAATAACTTAATCCCTAATTGCCTCGGTGTGTTCTACATCTATATCCTCAATAAGATGCCTTAAACTAGGCCTAAGAATGCCTAGAATGAGATGAGGATGCAAAGATGCAATTGAAAAGCATTTTCAGAACTTTCAGAAAACAGGGGTCACGCTCGAGCGTAGGTTACTCTGCTCGAGCGGACATGCAGACAAAGGTACACGCTCGAGCATCAAATCCCCTGCTCGAGCGTACTGTAAAAGTACTGGATGGGTGAAATCTCCGCTCGACGGACGCTCGACGCTCGCTCGAGCGTGAGACATATGCCTCCGCTCGAGCGGACTGTAAAACAGTGCAAAACAGGTTGCTCGAATTCCCCGCTCGAGCGCCACTTTCCCCGCTCGAGCGGGAGTGCAAAATCTGGAAAACCCAGATTGCACCTTCAAGCCAAAAACCGTGTTTTAAACCATAAATTTCGATCCTCTTGGGCCAATTTTCCAGAAAACACGCTCAAAACTCATACTTAATATGATTCAAAGCTTAATTTGTAAAATCAAGGCCCAAGGGTGTTTCAAATAAATCCAATTCAAACCAATTTCCATGAATATGAAGAACATCCAAACATGCATGAATTCAATCCAATTCAAAGCTTCAATTTCATGCTCTAGTGAGCCAAATCTTTCGAAAACATGATGAGTTCATGGTCTTTTGTAAAAATATGAGCATGCATGTACAATTTTATGAAAGACAACTTCAAAATAAAGGCATGCATGCATGAACTAGGCTCCAATTCAACATCAAGAGACCAAAACTTGACTTAACTCACTAGAGGCTCAAGAACCACGCATGAACGAGCTTAAATACAACAAGGAGAGGTTGAAATTCCTTACCTAAGTCTTTTATTCAAGGTTTATGAGCTCAATTATGAAATCAATCTTCAATTCATCAAGCAATTCTATAAGTAAACTCAATTCTCTCACTTCCCCTCTCTCTATGGCCGGTTGAACAAGGAGAATGGACTGATGAAATGTTTTGATTCAATGTGTATACAAGGTCAAGCCTAAAACAAGGTTTGGTGTAGTGGCCCACTCAAGGGCAAAGTTGTAGTTAAGTCAAACTATGCAATTTAACTTACTCTAATCTAATTTAATCATTCCAAATCGGTTTTCGGATAACTATACCATAAATCACATAAATTACGTTAATCACAAAACACTAATCAGTTTCCGGTTCGGCCGCCGATAAGGCCTTCAATTAGCAGTTTAAACACTAAAATACGAACAGATCAAATAAACAATCAACAGATAGAATTACAATTAAACAAATATACTCCGTCAAGTCAGTTCCAGTTTTCAGTCAATCAGTTCAATATTTAAATCAGTTCAGTTATCAATCATAATCAGTTCAGTTTAACGATAATCAGTGGTTATTCGGTAAACAGTGACGAGGGTTATTACAATATGCCCAGCCAAGAAAAAAAAATGTATATCTGAATTTTGGAGAAGCTTCCTTTAGTTGGTTAGCTTACTCATAGGTGTACATTAATTTGAGCATTTTGAATGATCAATGATATACTGATGACGTACATCCCCAAATGATAGATCAAATTCCCATGTGAGTTTAATTCTTAAATCACTCTACAATTCTCCATTTCACAGTTTCATGTTAATTTATATCAAATCCTTGATTCATTAAATTCAATCTGTGCCAATATTCTTAGTCTTACTAATTTGTGAATTAGAATATACTTATGAAATTCTATTTTCCTGTGTATTGATCTAATATATTACCAGCTGATTCTGCCCAGCCAAGAGAAAAAAATATGTATACATACATTTTGAAATTGTTGAATTCAGTTGGCTAGCTTACTCATAGGTCATAGATGTACATTAATTTGAACATTAGTGGAGTAGAGAAAGAACGATTCCCAAAATCAAATTGTGAGTATTGTTTTGTTGATTTTTCTTATACAGATAATATACACACGAAACCATTTTATATTGTATTGAGTTACTCTATTGAATGGTTGTTGTGCCATTAACCATTCTATTGAGTTACCCATTAACCATTCTATATTCCTTACTTATTAAGTGTTTGATAAAATGTTTCAATGGAATTTTCGCACAACAAATCCAGTTGATGGTATCCTCTCTCATATATAGATTTTTCGATTTGATTTTGTGGAGAAATGGGAATCATCCCAATAATTTTTTAACTTGCTTTTGGATACCAATATTATTCTTCTCTTGATTTCTACTTCTGGGTCTGTGTTATGTTATTTTTTTGCGATTTTTCTATGTGGGTTTTCTGAGCTTAGGCTTAAGTTGTAATGATATTGTGTATATTTTTTCTTTGTTAGGAATAGACATCATTTCTTTACTTGCATTTAGCTAAACCTTTCAGATTCACTTTTCATGACACATAAGTATTCAGTTTTGCTATAGAATTGTTGGTTATCTTCTTCAACATTACCTTTGGCCAGGTAACTAATTGCAAATTTTGCTAGAAAGTTGTGGCAGTTGTTTTTGATGGTCAAATTTTGGATGTTCTGTAAAATGCCTCAATTAAAATAGTTTATTTTCTTATATAATTATACTTTTTTGTTGTTCAAATAGTGAGTAAATCTATCAAGCCAAGTAAATGGCTAAACAACCTTTCCTACATAGAGTTTGATTAACCATGCTTGAATGCACTTAATGCTGGTAATGTGAATGTCCTAATTGATCAAAGTTATCTTATAGTTTATTCTACATCCCCCTCCCCACACACACACACAAAAAAATAGTGAGTGAATCCATCATAGTTTATTCTACATTCCCCCCAAACACACTACAAGAAATGTCACTTTTAGCTACCAAAATATTGGTCGCCAAAAGTCCAATATTTAGTCGCTGAAACGATTTAGCGACTAAAATATTTGGTCGCCAAGTTCGTCGCCTTTACCCTGTCGGCGATAGTATTGGCAACTAAATTTCGTTTGGTCGCCGAAAGTGACCACATTTGGCTACTAATATTAGTTTAGTCGGCAAATGTTATGTTTCCGCCACTAAAACCTTTAGTCGCCAAATGAGGCTTTTTGGCTACTAAGTTGTTGTGGTCGGGGAAGGTGTCACCTTCAGCTACTAAATAATTAGTCGCCGAAAGTGCACATTTGGCTACTAAATTGTATTTAGTCGGCAAAAGGTGCATTCGGTGACTAAAGTGTTAGTCACTAAAAGTGCATTGGGTTATATTTTTGCTACTAAATTCTTAGTCACCAAAACATTTGATTACGTATTTAGCTACCAAAATATTTGGTGGCCAAATACTTTAACGTGTTTTTTTTTTTATTTTTTTTTTCTAAACAACCTGTATCCATTGTTAATACAACCTGTACCCTGTATAAACAATATAATCCATCAACGCTAAATATGTTATCAAGCATTCAACAACGTGCACACATTTTAGTTCCAACCATCCAAAAAATTAATATTGAACGTCCAATCTTATATATATATATATATATTACAAATTCCATAAGAACCAAGTCTAATCTAACGTCAATAATTTAATTTCATACATAATACAGGAATAACCCACTACTCCCACTACACATTTTAGTTCCAACCATTCGAGGTGTCATGCTCTGCAACTGAAGCAGTTATATCCTTATCAAATGCAGTAGCAACAGAAGGCTCTGGTAACTCATCTATGGTGCTCCTTGTATTTGGGGAACCAACATCAGACTCAGAACCAGGCATACCCAGATGACCATTTTCAGTTTCTATTTCTGATATTGTATCCAATGAGCTCTGAGTGAGAACATCTGCAACATCCACCCTATCAACAATAGAATTTGGCATGGTATCTTCCTCTACTGTAGAAGGTTCTGGAGTCGCAGCCGATGCTCCTTGATCCGAGATGCTCCTCGCGCCATTTTGGAAGCCTTCACCATTCCCATATGAAATAGAATCTTCAACACTTGAAAACAAAGCAACTGAACTGTCTCCTAAATGGTTGTTTAGGGTTTGTGTTGACAATTCTGAGGTAGAAGCAATCATTGTTCCACGGTGATTGCTGCATTCAACTTCAGTGCATGTATCATCTACTCCTGCACTTTCTGAAACCAGCAACTGTTCTTTAGTAGTGCCATTTGTTACACCTACAGCCTCATTTTCGACACGGGCAACAGCAACCTCCATATTTTCTTCATTCATGCTCGTTGCAAGACCCAAACCTTGGAAAGCATGACTTGGAGTTCCAGACAAAGATGACCCTGTGCGTTGGTGCTTTGTGTTTATGTCAGACCTGTAAGTTTCAATGTCAGATTTCTTGCCACTTAACTGCCGCTGTACACGAGTCTCTGTTTGCCTAGCTGAGCCCAAGTCTACAGAGGATGATGCAGAGGCACTGCCCTGTCCAAGGGAACTTCTCATGCTTTGTGCCCCATCTCTCACATAGGACAGATCATCATAAGAAATACTAGAGGCAGTGAAAGTCACATATTTGTAGCTTAAGTTATTCAAAAGTAATTTTATTATGTGTGTGAACTAAACTACAGTTGCATAAAACAAGAAGAACTAATGATTGCATTGATGCTTTATGCATGTCCATGCCTTTACATGGCACTGTCAAAGCAACTAGTAAAGGTTTGAATAACCTCCCTTGCTCAACCCAGAATGCAACCAGAGAAAGAGAAGTCTGACATGATTTTTAATTAATTTGCAACCTACCTGATGGAAATTTATGGTGCAGGTTACATTTGTTTGTGGAAGCAAACTCAAGTACTGCACTTCACCCAACTCCAAATGTGTTAGAATGGTCAGCATCACCTGCCACAGTCAAAAACCAGCAGTTCAAGTCTTACGATGCATGTAGATATGACAAAGTGAACTCAAATGGAAAATGCTTTATCATCATTCTAGTATTTCTACCAAGAGGAAGACACCAGGATACAAATCTAAAAGTAATAAGCAGTTACTGATGAAAATGAACGAAGCTTCACAATATTTTCTATGTCCTTAAAATTATCAAAAATGTCATGGAAGGTCAATGTAATTTACCCCTTTTTTTTCTTCAAAAAATAAAGAATTATCAGGAAATTTGAATTTGCATTAAGTATTAGAAGTAGAATGCTGAAAGAACCTCTTCTTTCATATCAAATTTACGCAATGCAGGCTCTTTGACTAAAGAGCAAATTTTCCCATGTGAATCCAATTCATTAGTAAAAACTTCAGATAGAAATCTGCTGACTGCATATTCATCTACACCATCACTGTGAAGCACAATATTTTTGGTTAATTTCAGATCTTGAAAACCACAAATCAAAGCTAAACAGAATATGAAATGCATTGAATCACCTGTATGTTAGACTACGAATTTTAAAATATGTGCTATCATAAAAAAAGAGATGGCAATAAGATAATCTACCATCGAGTCCAGCACGTCCAATCTCCTACAGAAAAGCATGATTTGTTTTTTTCAAAAAAAATTTACATGAACATTATCTTCCAAAGAACCAATGGTTAAGAAACAAATACCCACCTGAACATACTCTTCCAAGCTTTCTGGTAAAGTGTAATGGATAACCTGAGATAGAAGCATTTAGAAAGCTTCAGTACAATTTCTACAATGCAGTGCCATGCTAGATGTGTCTATATGTGACAACAAGATATCTCATAACAAATAATGTTGCTTAGTGCTGTTTTTACATGAAAGCATTATAAAAATTCATACCAAGATATCAACATGATTCATGTGATATGATTACCCTGCTGTTGGTAGAGAAACCTGACTGTCCAACTTTTTAATAACTACAACTTTTGAGCATCAATTAATTATGTTGGGGGGGAGGGGTGCAGAAAAATAAAATAAAATAATCTTGTCAAGCCCCATGCCAAATGCCACAGTTGCAACAACCTTCTAGAAAATAATTCAAGTACATGAATTAGCCATATGTCATGACATCTTACTACATAATTAGAAATGAAAATAAGTTTCAAAGCCAAAGTGAACCAGAACAATTTCTTACCACTCTTATCTTGTTGGAACAAAATGATTCCTGAATATGACTTCGATCCTTTGAGGGTATACCACTGTGGTAACTCTTTATTTATTATTATTTTTTTGTTTTTGACAAGTTCAAATAAGTTACAGTAAAGAATAAATTAGTTTCATATGTAAGAAACCTTGTATGATTCAACTGAATCAAGAAAGTATATGAGAGGCTAACCATTGCTTGAATATTGTTGTCGCTTAAGTATTTGCTTATCAAATCAGTTTCATACTGCAAAATAAATAATTTAATCAAAAGCCAGGCAGTCAAAATTGCAATGTAAATAAGTATAAAATTTCATCCAATTGAATTTTGTATTGTCAAAAAAATCATTTTAAGCGAAGGATTTAACTATCTAAGGCCATGGTATACACTATATGGAAAGAACTCATGGGGTTACTTGAAATTTGCAGTATATAAAAATGTTTTGAACTTCCGCAAAGGGGGAAGACTTGATTAACATTATCAGATCCTTCATTCTGTTTGGTAAAGATAGTTAAACATGAGATGAGAAGCAACAACCATTCAGTATAGAGAGTCAAGAGTCATACTTGCCAAACTTTAATGCCTACATATTTTATTGGCTTCAACACATAAAGGATTTGGGATACTTTAATAGTAATGAGACACTGCATTAGCTTGGGAATTCAGATCATTAAAACAAACATACCCAAAATAATTTTTGTTTTTTTAAATCAAGAAAATTAACAGATGGGTACCTGAGAATTCAGAAGCCGATCCACCAATCCCCTAATCTAACAAGAAAACACAAGAAAAGGAAAGGTTGAAGAAAGTGCAAGATCATAGACCCAAATTGCAACCTTTTCCAAATAGTTTCACTATTTTTTTTATTAAAAACAATTATGAGAGAGAGAGAGAGAGAGAGAGAGAGAGAGAGGGGGACTCACAACATTTTGTACGGATTTAACAACACTCAGAGAAGTCGAAGATTCAGAGCTTTCACCTGTAGCCTTAACAACAATGGCAACGCGACTCTGTCTCTCTGCAATGAAAATTATTAGAAACCCATTAATAAAGAAGAAACTAAACCTAACCATGGAATACTGCAAGCCTACAATGAATCAGATTGAGTGACGTAAAGTCCGTCACTGTAACATTTCATTCGTGGGAAATGATCTGGTAAATCTTGCTACCGGAAGCTTTAGGGCAGCCCTTCAACAAAATTGATGGAACCCATTAATGGAAAGCTAGAATTAGAGCAAAAAGTGAATGACCCAATAGAGTATTATGCATTAGAAATCATACCTTGTTACCTATTTGAAGAACCCATGTGTGTGCGTGTATGTGAAGCTGTATGGGTTTTTGTGAGATAGAAAAACAGAGCCGAGAGGGAGAGAGAGGATCTCAGGCGACGGTGACCAATAAGGAGGTGAATCGGTGCTCCGGTTGCCGGCCAACGCGAGGAGGAGCACCGGTGAGAGTGGAGGGGAGAGGAGCGGCGGTGAGGGAGAGGGAGAGGGAGAGGGAGAAAGACGCTGAAGAGAAAGAGAGAGAGAGAGAGAGAGAGAGAGAGAGAGAGAGGAGCTATTAATGGTTCAGGGTTGGGTTTGGTTTGGTGAGACCGTGAGATGTGTTATATAAATGGTTATTGGTGACTATCTATATTGGTCGCTAAAGGTATTTTATAAATCCCTCTAAATATTTGAAAGGTCTCCCTCCAAAACATTTTACTTCTTTGGCGACTAAAATTCAATTTTGTCGCTGAAAATAATCTTTTGGCTACCAAAATTTTGATCGCCAAAAATAAAAATTAATTTTTTATTTTACATTTGCCGACTAAAGGTTTTAGTAGCCAAATCTATACCTACGGCGACTAAAAGTATTTTTGGTCGCTAAAAATTAACTTTTGGCGACTAAATTTTTAGTCGCCAAAGACAAAAATTAATTTTTTATTTTACATTTGCCGACTAAAGGTTTTAGTAGCCAAATCTATACCTACGGCAACTAAAAGTATTTTTTGTCGCCAATTTCTGGCATTTTCGCCGACTAAATTTATTTTAGTCGCCAATTGTGATATTTTTAGCTACTAAAATTAATTTTAGTCGCCAATTGTAATTTTTTAGCTACTAAATTGTTTTTAGTCGCCAATAATCAATATTCCCCTACGAAAAAAAATTAGTAGCTAAAAAGTTGACTTTTGCCGACTAAAATTAATTTTGGTAGCCAATTCCCACACTTTTGGCGACTAAATTTGTTTTGGTAGCCAAAGATAGTCACCAAAAATGTGTTTTCTTGTAGTGATAGTGAATGATACATGCCTTGAATATTTGGTAAGGTTAACAAAAATATAGGTATATTCAAATTGGTGAATCAATCAATGGGAGTTGGATCTTATTTTTAATAATAAACAGTGGACAATTTTTACGGAGTTGATTTTAGATAATGGATAGTGGATAATGGAGCTTGCTTGCTTACATTTTTTATTCTTCCTTTTGCTTCAAGTACATATGCCTTGCTTGAAGGTGTGTTTGATTAGCTCATAAAAAGTTGTTATGGCTTTGTTTGCTACAATGGTTGATTAGGTAATTGGTCTGCCTTCCATTGATGGATTTGTCAATAATTTGTTGTTTATCTATTGTTTAACTTGGCTTCATTTTTACTAGCTAGACTTCATTTTATATGTTGGCTATCTTCTAGATTATTAGCTACATGCAGTTTATGTTTTTTGTTCAGAGACGGTAGAGAAGCAAGAACCAAGAAGAGCGAATACTTGATTTTTTATGCTAATAATTTGGGTCTTCTATTTTAATTTTAGAATTTCATACTATTTTGATAATAATCATTGTGATAATTTTTACTATAATTATAATTTTAAAAATTAGCATTGTTTAGAATGCCTTTATGTTTGATTTTATTGTTTTTCAAAAACAAGATGTTTGAGTTTGTTTTGATTAGACTTGAAAAATTCAAATTAGACAATGAATGGAAGTGTTGTGTGGGTCTATTAGTGAATGTTTCAAGAGATGGAGAGCAATGGCACAACGGCCCATTTAACAAGTGAGCATTTTTTTTTTGCTCTCATTTTTTATTGAATGGGTCTATTAGTGAATGTTTCAAATTTTTTTTTTATTTTTCTTTTTCGGCTTTTTTTGTTTTGTTTTATGTGTCTCTTTGTATGCATTCAAACAGGGTATGTATATTTCCTTGGAGTGATGTCTTCCTTTATATCTTTAGTCGTGATAATTTTAGAATGCCTTTATGTTTGATTTTATTGTTTTTCAAAAACAAGATGTTTTAGTTTGTTTTGATTAGACTTGAAAAATTCAAGTTAGACAATGAATGGAAGTGTTGTGTGGGTCTATTAGTGAATGTTTCAAGAAATGGAGAGCAATGGCACAACGGCCCATTTAACAAGTGAGCATTTTTTTTTTTGCTCTCATTTTTTATTGAATGGGTCTATTAGTGAATGTTTCAAATTTTTTTTTTTATTTTTCATTTTCGGCTTTTTTTGTTTTGTTTTATGTGTCTCTTTGTATGCATTCACTATGTGATTTGTAAAATGGGTCTCCAAAATGCCTCAAAATTTTTATTTGGGTTTTCATTGGATGTCTAAATTTTTATGTGATTTGTTTCTCATTTAGGTTTGATTGTGTTTCTCATTTATATGATGTGATTTGTTTCTCATTTAGGTAAGACTTCGAACTCGCTGTACAGTATTTTTTCCTGATCGTTGTTGTTGATTATGTTGTGTTTTTCCCTTTCTTTGCTCTTGCCGGTAAGACTTATTCACTCTTCATTGTTTACCTTTTCACTCTCTCTGCTCTTGCCTATAATTTTGATTTGTTGTTTAAATTCTGAATCCTGAAGGAGTTGTTTGGATTTGTTGTTTTGTTGTTTGATAGTAATTTTTGGTTTTGTAGTTTAGGTGTCTGATTTTTGTGAGGGTACTTTCATTATCCCATCTATGATTTTTGTGGGTACTCGTAATTGCTTAGCATCAAATTTGTTTGATCCGTATTGAGCATCAAACTATGAAAATTAATGCTGTAGATCTTCCTTGGTTTTGCTTCTGCTACTATGAAAACATTTACTAATTATTAGAGCCTGCAATTATTACATAAAACATTATTTGGCTTGCATAGGCAAATACAATGTTCACATGTTCTTAAAGTCATGCCATCATAACTCCATCTTTTTCACTCAAGTTTAAGCTTTGAGTAACTCACTTAGAGACCAATTAAGTTGAAAAACTAATGATATATATTAAAAATTGAAACAGATAGTTCAGGGAAAGCTACTGTTGCATATAAAGTTGGTTTTGTAATAATTGTTTACATTGGTTGTTGATATATATTGTCTTGACATCCTATACTAAACTAACCTCCATCGAACACATTGAAAATAGTAGGTATGGGTTTAATGATTAGAAAACTAGTTTGTCTACTTGCAGTGTAGTATGCTTACTTGCAGTGTAGTATGCTTATATGGTTGTGGTGATAGTGTATGAACACCACTAATCATATTGGTTTCCAATTTTGTGTAGAACACCATTAATTGTTAGTCTTTGTTACTTTTTAATATGGAAACTAGCTTAGAATGTTATTCTCTGCTTCTTTTCTTTTTTTCATTACCAAGATGAATTCAATTTGTTGTCAATGGTGAGTTGGTTTTGGAATAATTGTTTATGTTGGTTGTTGATTTAGATTTTTTTTTCCTATTAGTTGGTGTGCTTCTTTTATTTTTGTTTTTTTGATGTACATTAGTTAGTGTCGTTTGGTTTTATTAGCTGATACTTCTAATGCTAATACAATTTGGTTTGGGGCCTACCTTGAATGTGACTTTTTATTTTTCTCATATTTTTCTTTCTTTTCCAAATTGGAAGTGAGTTTATCTTCTCTGTGTTCTGATTAATTCAGGAAAGGTGACTACTACCGGTATCTTGCTGAGTTTAAGATTGACCAGGAAAGAAAAGAGGTTGCTGAACAATCACTGAAGGGTTATGAGGCATGTTGATTAATTGTCTTGACATCCTATACTAAAGATATGCATAGTGAATTGCCGCATATTGACATAGTTTTGTTTTTAACCTTCACTTGATGTGTCTTCTTGATGCTGTTCTTTCTTCTACCACTGCAAATACAGATCTCCCTTCAACACACCCAATTCGTCTTGGCCTTGCTCTCAACTTCTCTGTCTTCTATTATGAGATTATGAATTCTCTTGAGAGGTTCTTCTTAATTCCTACGTATCTGGTGTCATAACAAACAATGGGCAATTTTTAAGGGGTTGATTTTGGATAATGGAGCTTGCTTGCTTATATTTTCTATTCTTCCTTTTGTTTTAGGTACATATGCCTTGGCTTGAAGGAGTGTTTGATTAGCTCATAAAAAGTTGTTGTGACTTTGTTTGCCGCAATAGTTGATTAGGTAATTGGTCTGCCTTCCATTGATGGATTTGTCAATAATTTATTGCTTATCTATTGTTCAAATTAAGAATCTTAAATTTTTATTAGATAGGCTTCATTTACATGTTGCTATCTTCTGGATTATTAGCTAGGTTCAGAATTAAGAAGAACGAGTACTTGATTTTTTTATGGTGATAACTTGGGCCTTCTATTTTAATTTTTGAATTTCATACAATTTTGATGATAATCATTGTGATAATTTTTACTATAATTTTGAAAATTAGCATGGTTTAGAATGCCTTTAAGTTTGATTTTGCTTTGTTTTGATTAGACTTGAAAAATTCAGGTTATACAATAAATGGAAGTGTTGTGTGGGTCTATTAGTGAATTTTTCAAGAAATGGAGAGTAGTGGCACAACGGCCCATTAAACAAGTGAGCCTTTTTTTTTCTTCACAATTTTATATCTTTGTTTGGGGAACTAGAAGTGTATTTATGGAGTTTCTTTTTATTGTCATTTTTCTTCTTGATATAGGTGATTTTGGGGGTGGAAGAGAAATTTAGATCAGGTTGATTCAATAGAATAACTTTGCCTACTACTTTTTCCATACCCTATAACTTTACCAGTGCTTATAATCAATTAAAATTTTCATTTTAAAATTTAAACACTGTAGGCACAATTGTATATTCATTTTAAAATAGATGTGACAAACAAATATGATTATAATAAATTAAAATTTTGATTGGATGGGTTAGAGTCAATTTTTTTTTCTTCTTCCCTTTACCCCTGTGACTCTTAACTCAATATATTTTAGTTTTATTGGCTGAAAATCATCTATTATTTTGTACAAGATTTGCGCCTGTTCTTTCCTTTCTTTCTTTTTTTCTTTCTTTCTTTCTTTCTTCTTCTTCTCCTCTCATTTTTTATTTTATTTTCAGAGTGAGGATTGTAAGTTGTGATAAATAAATATAAAAAAAGGGTAAATTACAAACACACCCCTTGAGATTTACTTAAATTACAAATTACCCCCTGTGGTTCTAGAAATTACATTATGTCCTCTAAGATTTCTAATTTCATAATAAATATGTCCTTTTATTAATAAATCATCAGGTTAATTAACAATTTTTAATAATGTTAAAAT